TATCCCAACTACATGCGCCCTAGTAGTAAGTGGTATCCCAACTACATGCGCCCTAGTAGTCAGTGGTATCCCAACTACATGCGTCCTAGTAGTCAGTGGTATCCCAACTACATGCGTCCTAGTAGTCAGTGGTATCCCAACTACATGCGTCCTAGTAGTCAGTGGTATCCCAACTACAGGCGTCCTAGTAGTCAGTGATATCCCAACTACATGCGCCCTAGTAGTCAGTGGTATCCCTACTACATGCGCCCTAGTAGTCAGTAGTATCCCTACTTCATGCGCCCTAGTAGTCAGTGGTATCCCAACCACATGCACCCTTGTAGTCAGTGGTATCCCAACTACAGACGCCCTAGTAGTCAGTTGTATCCCAACTACATGCGCCCTAGTAGTCAGTGGTATCCCTACCACATGCGCCCTAGTAGTCAGTGGTATCCCTACTTCATGCGTCCTAGTAGTCAGTGGTATCCCAACTACATGCGCCCTAGTAGTCAGTGGTATCCCTACTACAGGCACTCTAGTAGTCAGTGGTATCCCTACTACATGCGTCCTAGTAGTCAGTGGTATCCCTACTACATGCGCCCTAGTAGTCAGTGGTATCCCTACTATATACGTCCTAGTAGTCAGTGGTATCCCTACTATATACGTCCTAGTAGTCAGTGGTATCCCTACTACATGCGTCCTAGTTGTCAGTGGTATCCCAACTACATGCGCCCTAGTAGTCAGTGGTATCCCTACTATATACGTCCTAGTAGTCAGTGGTATCCCTACTACATGCGCCCTAGTAGTCAGTGGTATCCCAACCACATTCGCCCTAGCAGTCAGTGAACGGTCATGCCGTGATGGAGTAGCGCCCGGCGCATTGATTACTTCTACATAATGACTGTCAGACATCCCATCAGCGGGACATTGTCATCTAAAACGGCCGAACTCATTAACAGCAGATTTAATCTCTCTCTGTGATCCCAAATGATATATTGATCGCAGGACATTAACTGTCCAATACATAATAAGGAAGCGTCTAGCTGCAGCTATTAACTGTCTTAGTACCTCGTTACGGCCATCCAGGACTGACAGTATAACAGTTGTAGAAGTACAGATTCAACAACCCTTCCTACAGCATCAGGGCAGACTGACGCGTGCACGCCTCACCACACGGTCATCACGAGAGGAGCTGGATGGGTGGCCGACCCAACTCCCGAGTGTTTCTGGGACTTCGATCCTGCCCAGACTTAGGCTCACGTAGATGTATCTCTCATGAGATGTATCTTAAAGGGCAAGTTCACACGAAAATGGACCTTTTTTTTTTAAGGCAAGTGGTTTTGTTCGAAATGTGCCTCTGTTCACCCAGCAGTGAATGGGTACCCGGTAGGGTGAGATAATGTGACTGTTAACCGTCGAGCGCCTCATAAGCAGCTTTGGTTGCATACTACCCAGGGAGCTGAGAATGAAAATCGGATGCACACGGATCCACTGACCTACAAGAACTTTTTGAGCATGCTTTGGGGTATTCTTTTACTAAAATAATAAATGTATATTTCTTGATGCTGAGTCTGTAAAGATACATTTGAAATAGATCACTGCGCGAGGAGACTCTTAGTTTTCATTAAAGGACAGATAGCACTTATGCACAGTGAATGCTGCGCTATACAAATGCATAAATTATTATTATTATTATTATTATTATTAAAGGAACATGGGCACAAACAGACTTTTTGTGTTGTCCAAGTTGCCCTTAATATTAAAACAATGACGTTCTTTCATCTTTTCTTATTTGATTTTTTACAAACCACACACATTCTTCTCAAATCTGATTTTGAAATTATATGTTGAATTGAAAAATTCTTTAATTTCACATACAGTAAACTACGGTTGTAACGAACTCGACGGGGCCACTAATTTTAGTTCGTAATAACCGTAGTTCGTTATAAGCATATATACAGCAATTATACAACAAATGGTCGGGACTAAAAAATAAGTTCGTTATATCTGTCAGTTCGTTATAAGCGTGTTCGTTATAAACGGAGTTTGCTGTTATGTTACTTCATGAGAATGTGAGGAATTTTATTTGTACCCCTTGTGTGACACTGTAGGAGAATTAATCGATCTTCGCAATATAAGGCCGTGCGCTTTACACCACTAAAATATATTAACACTATCTGATAGAGGAAACCATTATTTATCACGCCATGTTGGTGCTAGGCTGGCAGACAAGGTCATCATTTCTGCACGTACGTGTTTGTTTGTTTTGTTTGTTGTTTATCTCAACGATATCCACACTAAATAACGGCGGTCTGTAAATAATCGAGTCTGGACCGGACAATCCAGTGATTAACATCATGAACATCGATATGCGATCTATTGGGATACAATGATATGCATCAACCGAATAAAAGTTGCACGTGTATCAGACAGCCCTATAAATGTACTTTCTTAGGAACGTAAAAAAAAATATGTTATAATGAAAATAAAGCGCACTGAGCGATCACACACTGATTGCATGGTGACCATTTTTCATTGGACAAGAGTCTCCATCTCTAGAGGGGGCACGGGTGGCCCTGTTGCCTAAGGCGACGCGATTCGCTGTGCAGAATTGCGTCCCTTGGGTACGCCAGAAACCTATGATTGTTGGTTCGAATCCCGGTTCGCCCCGATTATGTTTCTAGGTTTGTCAACACCATACCCGTGCTCGTGGGTTTCACCAAAGTGGTAAACGTCAGAGACCTGCATCACTTCGGGCTTCCCTCTCACATTAAGCTGACATTAACTGGAATACTGTTAAAAGCGGCGTTAAACACAACTCACTCACTCACTCCATCACTAGACTCGCCATTCGTCAGTGTGTATTTATAAATCAAAAGAAGATTGCAAAACATCGAAACATGCTTGTGCAAAAACCTTGATGAGTAATTTCTGTTGAGTCAGTGGAATTTGAGTTCCATTGATCATATGATTTACAATTAAAATATATCGAGCATATCAACAACATATCATACCATTCCAGAGAGAACACGTTAAGTTGGGAGTGACCTGGGGTCTACCGTTTTGGACGGTATATAGGTTAGGCCAGTCAGGTCGTACACGTTTAGGGGGCACGGGTGGCCCAGTCGTCTAAGGCGCCGCGATTCGCTGTGCAGAGTTGCGTCCCTTGGGCACGCCAGAAACCTATGATTGTGGGTTCGAATCCCAGTTCGCCCAGATTATGTTTCTAGGTTTGTCAGCACCATACCCGTGCTCGTGGGTTTCACCGAAGTGGTAAACGTCTTAGACCTGCATCATTTCGGGCTTTCCTCCCACATTAAGCTGACACGCCGTGATATAACTGGAATACTGTTAAAAGCGGCGTTAAACCCAACTCACTCACTCACTCACTCGTACACGTTTACCTGTGTATTGACACCGTTGTTTGTTTGTTGTTCAACGCCAGAATTTGCAATATTAGCACTTAGCAGTCTGTAAATAACCGAGTCTGGACCAGACAATCCAACGATTGACATCATGAGCATCGATCCACGCAATTGGGATACGATGACCTGCATCAACCAAGTCAGCGAGCCTGACCACCCGATCCCGATAGTCGCCTCTCACGACAAGCATAGTCGCCTTTTACGGAAAGCATGGGTTGCTAAAGACCTATTCTACCCCGGATCTTCACGGGTCTATTGCCACCTACGAGCACTGGTATGGAGTTGACAGATCAAGAGCTGATTTGGTTACATTCACATCAAAGTGCATTGAATTCATGTTGGAACCCGGATACCGGTTGTCATCGCGACAAACGAAATTTGTAACCACGAAGTTGTTAAATCGACCCGTTTCCACAAGAAAAACAAATAGCTTTCATTTTTGTAAGTGTCCGATGTCATGGGTTCGAATCTCGTATCCTCCTCGACCAGGTCTTTGATCTGTCAGCATCAAAACCAGAAGGGCGTTCAAGTAGTCAGTGTTTCCGTCACTTCAAGACAACCCTCTCGTGAAAAATGTTTAACCGTCAAAGTGTGTCGTTAAAACACTTATGAACGTCAGTTTGGCGGTCATGTGACCGCTCTCTTGTCTAATGGCAGAATTGAGATTTAAAAAGAATAGATAAAAATATATGACACAAAGAAAAACATATCCGAAGTATCAATACATTTTGTGAAAGTTGCCATGCAGGTTTCATCAAACGCGCGAATATTCTATGAAACATGTACCCCGGGAAAATGAAATCCGAAAAGATGCTGATATTTAGGATAAGAAATAACACACCCCTTTACCTTATATAAACAAGATAAAGCGTGAAGCTTTTATCAAAGCGTGTATTAACGAGATGACAAGATAAAATCGCATCTGTTTAACCATCGAGTTTTACCTATTCCATTATAAATTTTATTATGAAAACAGATAGGACTAACATATTGAAACTAAAACAGTCGCTGTATTAAAATGTACGTTTTACGTGCATCTGTATTAACACATATAACTCTACAACATCATACAAATAGATGCAGATAGACGCCCTAACAATAGATATGTGGTTCAAGCAGTACAGGGAAGATAAACATGGATTTACATTAGCGTTCAAGGAAAGTCACAAACTATATCCATTCCCTACCTTAAACTGGACAAGCTGGTCCCACAAAATGAAATTGACATGTAACGATAACTTGGTAATAATGATGATATAAGTAGGATGATATTGACTATATGTTTACGGATTGAATAACCTTGTATCCCAACACACTACAAATGAAGACAAACCATCATGGTAAATATCACATGATCTTTTTCGCGGTAAAACTGCCATAAATCTCAAATGGGTTTTTAATATAACTAAACATTCAAACTATTTTGTATAAAGAACACAATGTAACTCTCCAGAATTTGATCAGGAAATTCTGAATTTGCCAAATGTGATGCATCGGTGACAGAAAGTATGTCTGATGCAATTATCTATTAAGTCTTGTACCATATGTCATCGTGTTAGTTTTCAAGGAAAGTCACAAACTACATCCAACCCCTACCTTTCAGAGGATAACCTGGTCCCACCGCTCCCCGTCTGCCCAGATACGTGTAGTGATGCACTGAATCCAATAACGCGCTCTCAACATCAACCTGCAGCGTTTAAATCCTCATCATTTACAGTGTCTTGAAGGCAACTCCAACTACCTCAGATACGACGTCCCGCCCGTAATCACAGCCCGCAGTGCAACCACACAGAGCTGTACGAGAGTGTGTCCATGTGTCGAGACCCTTACCGTCACGTCCTCAACCGCCAATGCACAGATAGCCGTTGGTGTTATCTGACTCGGTGCAACGACTCCCTCTGCGGTGGAGCATGAGAGCAGCTTTTACTGATATTACTCTGTTAGTAATAAAGGGGCCTGGGGGATTCCATCAGCCTTGTTATTGGCCTCAGCTGATCACGAGGCATGCGATAACGCTGTTGGCAAAGGCTTTATAACTAGCTCACGCAACGCCAACCAGAAACACGGTTCTCATGAACCGGCAACTTTCTGCAGGGTTTGAATAGGTCGTGCTAAAAAGAGACGTTTTTGTGTGTAGTTGATGAGATGGATGGTTTGATGGATGGATGGATGGATGAACAGACGGGAATATAGATGAAATGAAGGACGGTTTGATTAATGAAAAGACGGGTATAAAGATAGAACAAAGGATGGATGATGGATGAAAAGACGGGTGTATACATGTAGTTAGAACAAAGGATGGATGATGGATGAAAAGATGGGTGTATAGATGGATGGTTACTGCATAGACGGTTATATTGATGGAAGGATGAGTAGCCGGGTATATAGATGGATGGATGGGTGAATAAACGGGAATACAAATGGATGGATGGGTGAATAGGCGAATATATAGATCGACGAATGGATGGATGGATGAATAGACGGATATACAGATGGATGGATGAAAATACGGGTATATAGATGGGTGGATGGATCAATAGACGGGTATATAGATGGATGGATGGATGGATGAATAGACGGATATACAGATGGATGGATGGATCAATAGACGGGCTTATAGATGGATGGATGGATGGATGGATGAATAGACGGATATACAGATGGGTGGGTGAAAATACGGGTATATAGATGGATGGATGGATGGACGGATATACAGATAGATGGATGAAAATACGGGTATATAGATGAATGGATGGATCAATAGACGGGCATATAGATGGATGGATAGATCAATAGACGGATATACAGATGGATGGATGAAAATACTGGTATATAGATGGATTGATGGGTGAATAAACGGGAATACAAATGGATGGATGGGTGAATAGGCGAATATATAGATCGACGAATGGATGGATGGATGAATAGACGGATATACATATGGATGGATGAAAATACGGGTATATAGATAGAACAAAGGATGGATGATGGATGAAAAGACGGGTTTATAGATAGAACAAAGGATGGATAATTGATGAAAAGATGGGTATGTAGATGGATGGTTACTGCATAGACGGTTATATTGATAGATGGATGAGTAGCCGGAAATATAGATGATGGATGGGTGAATAAACGGGAATACAAATGGATGGATGGTTTAATAGGCGAATATATAGATCGACGAATGGATGGATGGATGAATAGACGGATATACAGATGGATGAATGAAAATACGGGTATATAGATGGGTGGATGGATCAATAGACGGGCTTATAGATGATGGATGGATGGATGGATGAATAGACGGATATACAGATGGGTGGTTGAAAATACGGGTATACAGATGGATGGATGGATTGATGGATGGATCAATAGACGGATATACAGATGGATGGATCAATGGACTGGCATATAGATGGATGGATGTATAGATGGGCAAATAGATGGATGGATGGATTTATAGACGGGCATATAGATGGATGGATGGTGGATGTATAGATGGGTAAATAGATGGATGGATAGAGGGATCAATAGACAGGCATATAGATGGATGGATGAATAGACGGATATACATATGGGTTGATGAAAATACGGGTATATAGATGGATGGATGGATCAATAGACGGCATATAGGTGGATGGATGGATGTATAGATGGGTAAATAGATGGATGGATGGATGGATCAATAGACGGACATATATATGGATGGATGGATGGATCAATAGACGGGCATATAGGTGGATGGATGGATGGATCAATAGACGGGCATATAGGTGGATGGATGGATTTATAGATGGGTAAATAGATGGATGGATGGATCGATCAATAGACGGGCATATAGAAAGATAGATGGATGGATCAATAGACGGGCATATAGGTGGATGGATGGATGGATCAATATACGGGCATATAGATGGATGAATGGATGTATAGATGGGTAAATAGATGGATGGATGGATGGATGGATGGATCAATAGACGGGCATATAGATGGATGGATGGATGGATCAATAGACGGGCATATAGATGGATACATGGTGGATGTATAGATGGGTATATAGACGGATGGATGGATGGATCAATAATCGGGCATATAGATGGATGGATGAATAGACGGATATACAGATTGGTTGATGAAAATACGGGTATATAGATGGATGGATGGATCAATAGACGGGCATATAGGTGGATGAGTGGATTTATAGATGGGAAAATAGATGGATGGATGGATGGATGGATCAATAGACGGGCATATACATGGATGGATGGATGGATCAATAGACGGGCATATAGATGGATGCATGGTGGATGTATAGATGGGTATATAGATGGATGGATGGAGGATGCATGCGAGCACGGCGCACGACATCTCAATGGTTAAATAGAGGGATATCTGCTCGTCATTCAGTAACCACAAGCTGACATATTACCATTATACTCAAACACACAATCAAATGGACATGTAGCGATAACTTGGTTGTAATAATGATGATATAAATATGATGATATTGACTATATGTTTTACCGACTGATGCACCTTGTATCCCAACACATCACAAATGAAGACAGACCATCATTGAAAATATCACATTATCTTTTTCCCGCTAAAACTGCCATATATCTCGAATGGGTTTTTAATATATAACTAAACATTCAAAGTAAGTTGTATAAAGGACACAGTATAACTCTCCAGAATTTGATTACGAAATTCTGAATTTGCCAAATGTGATGCATCAGTAACCGAAAGTGTGTCTGATGCAATTCCCTATTTTGACTTGTACAATATGTTCCCGTGCTTTTTTCCGGTGAACAATTGATTTGCCTTTGCAGGTGTTTGTAACGGTCGCCACCGGTGGGGCAGGGTACCCTCAACCTTTCGCAAACACCTTGCATCATCAATATTTGAGACCGCCTCCGTGGTCTTGTGGTAGAGCGTCCGCCCGGAGAGCGGAAGATCCGGGGTTCGATCCCCGGCCGCGTCATACCAAAAGACGTTAACAGATTGTACTTGTTGTTACCCTGTCTGGCGCTCGGCATTAAGGGGCTAAAACAAGGACTGGTCGGCTCGGAGTCAGTATACTGTGTCTGAGTGGGGTATTCATGTTATAACTGCGGCATGGTATCTCAGTGGGCTAGCACTGTAAATCGGCATCTGTCCGGACTAGTACAAGCAGCCACACAAACACACACACGTACATGTACGTCGATATATAAGTGCAATCATCTTGGACGCGACGTTAAACCCCATTTTACCTCACCTCACTATTTGATAGTGATGTAAAATGGCATGCTTAGCATAAAGTCGAAATCAAACAATTGAACTGAGAGATTCCTCATGATTGTGAAAAGGGTTTTTCGGGTTTTATTTACATTTAAAAATTTAAAAAAACGAAAAAGATCTTCGAAAGTCAATATTTTGGTCCATCTGCAGTCCAGCAATAATACAACAGCAGTACACTTTATATCTTTAAAGACAACAGGAGTTTGGCACTTACTCCTCAACATTCATACAGTGATCACAACAAGATGATAGTTACTTTGACATATATGAGTGCAGATAAGTGGTATTTACACCGACGGCGTTAAAGGTTTTTTGTTGTTGTTTTTTGTTTTTTGTTTGTTGTTTACCGCCGCACTCAGCAATATTCCAGCTATATGACGACGGTCGGTAAATAATCGAGTCTGTACCAGACAATCCAGTGATTGACATCATGAGCATCGATCCACGCAATTGGGATACAATGACTTGCATCAACCAAGACCGCGAGCCTGACCACGCCTTAAAGGTACTCATATTGACAGATACCTAAGCGAACGATACCGGTTAATCGTGACTGTAACGCTCCCAATGAAATCTGGAGTCATATAAGCTGACTAATCCCTATTTAAAACATGCAAACTTTCCCCAATAATCCTGGGACTTTTCAGACCAAACGTGATCCACTCGAATGAATATTGCTGTTAATTACCCTCACCGGTAGCCCGACAGAGAGGCAGACAGTAAAGCCTTGTGTACTGAAATATTTAGGTTAGGTGCTGTACACTCATTTATAGGAACTTGATGAAAATCAATACCCACTCACTGAAAGCTGTCATCAGACACGCGCCGATAACTGTAATCGTTCATATAATCACCGCGCGCTTTGTCACAGTAGGTACTTGATATCCGTCACTCATTCGCGACGGTCATGTCAACATCAGATGTTTGCTGTATTAGGTTTCGAACAATATGTGTACGATAGACGCTGTGATGTAAGTAAAAAACTCTTGTTACAGCGATTCGACTGCTTGTTTAGATCAAGAACGTTTTCAGGATTCAGATTTTTTTTCAATTTTTTTTTCTACCGTTATTAGGACATGTGGCGATATGAAATCAGACTTCTCACATGAAGATAACAGTATTTAGCTCAGGGAGGCAGGTCACAATTGATTGAAAACAAGATTTAGTGTCTTAAATGGTAATTCTCGGCAGATGTAATAATAGTGACGTCCTCTATCCAAACAGACACATCAGGGCAGATATAACAACAGTGACGTACTCTATCCAGACATACACGTCTGGGCAGATATATCAATAGTGACGTACTCTATCCAGGCATACACATCTGGCCTGATATATCAAAAGGGACGTACTCTATACAAGCAGACACATCTGGGCAGATATATCAATAGTGACTTACTCTATCCAGACAGACACATCTGGGCAGATATATCAATAGTGACGTACTCTATCCAGACAGACACATCTGGGCAGAAAATACAATAGTGACGTACTCTATCCAGGCATACACATCTGGCCTGATATATCAAAAGGGACGTACTCTATCCAGGTAGACACATCTGAGCAGATATATCAATAGGGACGTAATCTATACAAGCAGACACATCTGAGCAGATATATCAATAGTGACTTACTCTATCCAGACAGACACATCTGAG